GGAGCCTATCAAAATGCTTAGAAAACACTAGCACACCTGAAGTATATCTAAATTCAATATTACTCTCTTCTTATTCTCTTAACTAGTATTTTTTTCCCAATCTTCACACTATGATTATAAGCTTTATGCCTTTTAATTTCTACATTCCCGTATGTCATCTTTATTTTCATTTTTAAATAATTTTAAAACGCTATCAGTTGATTAGATAAAAAAAACTATAAGAACAAAATTATTTGAAATAAATTTTTCTATTAAACACATTAAACTAAAAATAGAGGTTCCCATTAAAGAAAATTTAATTTTAAGTTTTTATATATTATATTATTTATTGAATTATAATTTAGTATAAGATAAGCATGCATCTTATTTTTTAAAATAACTAGGTCACCTCTTTAGTGTTACCTCAAACCATAATAGTTATGACTTAATAGCTAATTCTGTTCTTCTGCCGAGGGACCTAATCAATAGAATATTTTTTTAAATTGTTTTAAGACTATCATTTATATTATTATAAAGTTAAACTGGAGAATGGCGATCATTTTGACGGTACTTGATATAACCCAAAAGCTTTTTGTTGAAATATTTAAATTTTATTTGGAAATTAAGTATTAATTTTTTGGTCACATTACTTTAATTTCAATTTTATTAAATTAATTTTATAATATAAATTTAAAATAATATTAATTATTATTATTTGATTGAATATGGACGGTATTATTCTCTTAACATACACTTTACAATCATAATTTGACGCGGTCGCATTGCACTTCCGGCTTTACAGCTGGATGGCGACTGCGACACAGCTACCTCTCCTCGTCCGACAGGTCGCGCGACGCCGAGTGACCGCGGGTGAGGAGAACCGGTCCAGGCCGCCGGCCACTAACAATATTCACTATCATACTTCATTACGGACAATTATCGTCTTTCCATCTGTCACATTGACTAATAATATTGGTTAAAATATATTGTATTGCTGTTAATAATAGTGTTATTACTAGTATCAATAAAAATACTTAGTGGTTATTAATTAATTGTTACTTTATTACTTAAACCTCAACAAATTTAATTCAATTAAGTATAATTTAACATGATTTAAAGAAATTAAACATTGCCTGACAAAATTTAGAACTAATTATACATAAGTAGAGAAAAATATAAAAATCATGATGAATATTACCATGTACCAAAGTAATGGTTAACGAAAAATGGAGATGTATTTTTCGTAAGAAAAATTTGTAATTTTACCACTATTGGTCATATTTTATATGTATATAATGATAATAAAACAATCTTACTATGTCTCCACATTTTTCCCTATATATACGAGTACAATACAGTGTAAAACTATCGAGTACGTATAAAAGGGGAAGAAGAAACAATACCCCCTACCAAAAAGGTGTCTTCTGAATCCGCGCGTAAAAACTATTTTATAAATTTTTCATTAAAATGTTTTTAACATACTGGATTGCTTTTTGATAATAATGATCTCATATCAGCAACATTTTTTGTTTCATTATATCGGTCCATTAATTGTGATATAAAAGAAACCATTCCTATACAAAAAAAAATATATAATTTAATTCCATATCATTTAAAAAAACTAAAACGCACTTCCGATATTTATATTTTTTGAGTTTTTACTAAATATTTTGTATTGAGCATGATTGTAAAGGCAATTGTATGGGTCTTCACTTATACAGGCACTTCCTAAATATTAAAATAAAACTTGGTTTATCTATGTAAATCACTTTAATGCATATATATACTATAGCCGGATAAAGAAAAGCTTGGAGTGATTGCAACTACTTCTGTTTTTTTTTTTTTAAACACTTCATTTAAAAATAAAAGAGGAAGACTTATAATTCAAAATATTGCCTATAAATCATTATTAGAAAAAAGTAAAGTTAAGCTTCTACAATTTTCCTGGTTTCTATGAATGGATTTAAAAATTGAAATTTGCACCAGAACTACTTTTATAATTATCCGAATACTGCAAATTTTTTCAATTGTGTCTTTCAACTTTATACGAGCCAAAATATGAATTTTCATGAACATTTTTATTTTGACCACCTATTTAAACTAAGGGGTAAGACGACGAAAACGATAATAAAACTTTGTAACCAAAACTATTGTAAAATAATTTATAAGAGATAGGTCTAAAGTTTCGGTTTTCAAAGATTACATAAAATCACGCAAAACATGAATTTCTAAACACAACTAAAATTAACGCGCGTACATATGTACTAGAACTAGTAAATAAAAGTGTTCCATAAGAGTCTTTAATGCTATCAAAGATGTTGCGTTGTGTATGATTTATTTTGAAAAATACTGAATACGTTATCTTATCCTGACTTACTCTACTAAAATTGTTAAACCTAAATCCGGCATAGTTAAACATGATGAATTGTTACCGTATTTTTTCGTTACATAAGTAAGCTCCACTGTAAGGCCATTGTTGGAAATAGCTAAAATGATTACTGTATTTTCTAAAAATGTATCAAAAACTACAATAGGCTTATTAGATCGATGTACAAGTATACTATCGCACATAAACGTAAGACTATCACATGGCTCATTGACACCTTCTAACAGCATATTCTCTTGTAAAATAATATCGGGGCTATTCTGTATGTAATATTCATAAATAAATCCACCACCCATCAAAGTATCAAACTTTGTGCAATTGAGTTCGTAATTCATATCTTCGATGTTTTTTGAAGTGCAATAGTAATCACAGTTTTCCATACAATCTGCCTTGACTATGAAATTTTTAGTATCATTTAAAGGTTTATACCCAAACCTTTTTGCATATTTTCTATCTGTACTCATAATAATCGTGAAATGGTAAGTTCTTGTTTTACTATAATTAAGTATTATATGCCTAACAGGACCTGAAACGATACAATATTTTAAAACTGAAAAAAGTTTTAAATGGCCTAATGTTAATTTGTATATCAATATATCAAACTTTTCGTAACATATTTTCCACAAGTATTATTATCATGTTTCATATTTTCCGTCCATTCACACCACATAGTATAAATAAAATGCTTGCTACATTCATTAGGTATTTTACATCCGGAATCAAATGAACCACGTAAATCTAATTCTATTATTCCATCTTTAATCTGTTGATCTTCAGAGTACGTAACTTTTCTAATACTTTTTAATGTGAATTTAATTGACAATTTTGATGTTTCTTTGATTAAATAATTTTGTTAGAGCTATATTGTATAATTCAAAATTATATATACACCTTTTAAATCCATTTTAAATATGTTCGATTTCTCGCAAATTAAAATATAATTGTGTGATATAGTTTTCTTGGTTTTTAAGCTTCTACTCATATTTTCAGATGCAATACTCCTAATACAGAAACCTTAGAATGAAATTAATTTCATAATTTTAGTACTAACCATTCAAAATTAAAATCACTTCCATATATTTTCATTAAGTAGTTGCTGGAAATATTAATCCAAAGAATCATTATGACGACGTTTAATCTGTTATCACCCGTAACCATTAAAATTTTTTCAATAAAACATTTTTATCGACTTTCTATAAAATCATTTTAATTTTTAATTTTTAAAGAGAAAAAAGCGTGTATTGGCCGATTATATGAAATACAAGTCTACAGGATTATAATCAATAAAAATATAAAATAATAAAAGATTTAATTATAGAATGATTTATTTTATCAACATTTGTTGAAAATTACATAAAACATCTCAGAATTAATGGGTTCTTCCAATATGTTTAAACTTAGTTTATTATATATCTTTTTTTTTTTTTCATTTTTTGTTGTTTAGTTACCTTAGAAACTATTTTTTGCTTCAAAAAGTGTTATCAATTATTGTAATATCCCTACCTTAATAAATTTTAACAGTATAGTACATAACTTAAACTTACTGATAGTAACTCATTATACTACAGATAAATTTATATTATTGTATACGTCCCATGGTTTTAATAAGAAATAAAGTTAAGCAAAAATTATATCAATCAAATGATTTATTTCATGAAATTTGCTACTAGAACTTCTTCTTTTTCTTCGCCTTTATACCAACTACTTGGGGTCGACCACCTTTATCCTAAACTTCTACTTGACACGATCTGCTATATCATTTACGCACACAGACGTTCATATATCGCATTCAATAACATCCCTCCATCTCTTTTTTGGTCTTCTTTTATCTCTTCTTCCTTCAACATTCATTTCTATAATTGTTCTTTCAGCTTCCAATTCCTCTCTCCTCATAAAATTACCAAACCATCTAAGTTTATTTTCTTTCATATTATCCACAATTGATGCTACACATATACTTTCTCATATATATTCGTTATTTATCCTATCTTCTCTAGTGATTCCATTCATATATCTACCATTCTCATCTCTGCTTTACTTTTTTGTCTCTACCTTCTTATAAATTTGCTACTAGAACTAGTGATGGGTATTTTAAATTATCGAATAACTATTCGAATTGTTTTTATACAACCAAATAGTTTATTTTTAGCATAAACTATCGAATAGTTTTAAAAACTATTCGATTAGTTCTACCTAAAATTTTTATTCAGTACACTTAATTATAATAAGAAGATAATTAACGAATACATAAAATAAATTATTATACAATTAATAATAGTAAAAATTAGTGATGGGCATTTTCAAATATTTTAAACTATCGATTAATTATTCGAATTGTGTTTATACTACCGAATAGTTTACTTTTAGCATAGACTATTCAAATATATTGTGTAACTATTGAATAGTTCAATAGTTACTATTCGATATTTCCCATCACTAACTAGAACACAACTAAAAATATAATTAATTCATTAAAATGTTCATTTAGATTATAATTTATTACTAATTATTTTAAATTATAACAATCTATACAGTTATAAGTTATTTATTCTTATGGTTAATATAATACATTAATGAATAAAGTATAATTTTATAAAAAATAAAATTATAAAATTTTATATACTTCATATATAACATATTATTTAAAAATACAGATAATCATTAAAAAATAATTTGTTTAGTTTCACATTTTCTTATAAACTATTAAACAAAATTTATTAGGTGATATATAAAACTTTATAAACTAAAAATTTACAAAATAATTCGTTTTAATTAAATAATTGGTAAATCAATTCCATTTTTTGTATTACTTGATTGTTTATGAACCATACAAGATCGAGCAACTGATTCAAATAGTCTAATAGTAGATCAAAATTAATAAATTAAAAATAATAAATAATTTTAAATTTGAGGATATAGGTGTTCAATTTATTTTCTGAAAACTAATTCCTATTAATATAAACTAATTATAATAACATGTAATATAAATTTATATTTACTTTTCTATTTCAGGTGCACAATGAACAAATTCATGTTGCCAAAACTTATATGCTGGATTCTTAATTAGTTCAATAAAAGTAATCAACAGACCCCAAGGATGAGGTCTATTAACAATAAGCCTCTCTAAGAGAACCCTGCAGTAAACACATATATACTATAACAACTACTGTTAAATTTTAAAATTCATATTCTTGAATAGAAATATATAAAGTAGAATCATTTTTACTGACCTTGTTATTTGTTCTTGTATAGCTTCACTATTGGCTTCAGCAAATAAATATAATAGTGTGCAGCTAAAATAATGAGTATGACTATTAGGAAAACGTAGTTGGTTAGCAATCGCATTTAAAAACAAATAACGACCTGAAATAAATAGTATATAAATAAAATTGTTATATAAATTATATATTCACAAATTTATTAATTTGAAGTACACACAGGATCATGAATACTTAATATTTAATTTTAGACACTAATTTTTCGGAAATTATTGAAAATTATTAATTTTTGTAAAAAGAAAAATTATTTTATTAAAATAACTACAGTTTTGTGTGATTAAATAATATATTTTTAATCCTATAATGATTAAAAACCTTAAATTTAATTTTATGAATAATTATTAGGGAACTCCTATTAATTTCTATGAGTAACTGAGAAGCTATTAAAATGACTTTAGAGTTTTTTTTTATGTCCGCTGCTACTAGATTTATTTTACTCAACAATAGAATTAAAGCTATCAAGCTATAATTTTGAAGAATTCCCTTTAGTCCCAGTAATAAAGAGAAATGTCCTAAAAAAATAGTTGTCAAATAATAGTCAATGTATATATTTTTAATTTTCACTTTATATTAAAATAACTTTTTAACAACTGAACAACTATTGAACATTTTTTATTTGTAATATTTCAGACATTCATCAATAATTAATCATGTAATTTTCGGTAGATATAATAAACTACTCTATTTGAATAATACTTGGATCAAAGTAAAATTGTTAGTGGTAAAATTTAGTAGAAGTATCTTTATTTCAATATAATATACTTTTTTAAAAAATTCGATTATTAACAAAACTGTGGGGGCTTAAAAAAAATCATTTCAAAATTTTCTTTCTTTCCTTTTTTTATAATATTACAAAAAATTTCTTTAAACCTACATTAAATTAAAGCTAACACAATGTAATTTAAGATAAAAAATAGCACAGGCAAAGTGTACATATACCAGTATGAGCTCTACCCACCCATGCTACTTACTCTTACTATGGTTTTGTTGCTGTAATGGATAAACGGTCTATTAATTAGAAAAATTGTAAAATCAAAATGATTAGTAAATTTTTTTTTCTATCACTTTATAAAGTTAAAAATAGGAGTTCCCATTTAAGAAAATTAAATTTTTGGTCTTTTAAACCTGAAGGTATAAAAAAAAATATTAAAAAAAACTATATATTATTGTTGTTTTTTGAACTTAATATTTTTTCTCTTGTAATGATACTAAGAAGTCTATAAAGCGCTTAATAATAAAGTACCAGGACATTGACTTTTAGTATATAATAAATAAATAAGTATATATATTACGTTTATAACAAATTAACAATACATAAATATTGCGAGTAGTCCACACAGAGATGATAGAAGGGCAACTTATATTACCATCCATACTGATCACACAACAGTCAATTAACAGTAAAGCAACAATAAGCTGAACCCTCCGCTACTTTTATACACTGTATGAACTATACATCACACTCTTTACAAATAATTAAAACTCTAAATAGTTTCTGAGAAAATATGTGATTTATCAAATTTGTATCACTCTGTATAATTGAATAATTTAAATAATATTACTTAGAAAATAAATTTTTAATAACCACCTTCAGTGTCAAGGTCCACTGACAAATTTTGAAATATGTCCATATGTGCTGAATGAGCAATTGTAGAAGTGTTAGGCACTAGACCTTTGCTTCTTATATGTTGAATGGCTTGAGTGCCAACATACAAAACAATAGCATTTAATAATGATAAATTATAACGCATTCCTGGTTCACAACAGCTCTGCTGCATTGTAGAACGAATTTCTGATAAAAATGTGACTGGAGCACGAGTTTTAAGGTATAAATCGAGATCCTACAAAATTTATAATGATTTTATTCAGAAAAAATTCAATTTTCAAAGTAGACTACTTTTTTAAAATTTGTTGGCTGGATATAACACTGAAAATCAGGACTTATTTTCGGAGACAATGAAATTTCTTGAAGAATGTCTACCTTCAAGTTGGGTGTAAATGGATCTGGTAAACGCATATTACGTGGGAATGCAGATAATATTAAATTTCTCATCTAAATATAAAAATATAAATATAAATAAAAAAAAAAAATTGTTTTGTCATTTTATTAAAATAAAGATTGTACATACTTGAATACAATTAGGAGGTATAACATCACAAAACCCATAATGAAATTCACATAAAAACTCTGGAAAGTCATGTAGCAATATGAGAAGTATACGTAATGTCCCTTTATATAACAAGTGAACAGGTTTTGCAAGCTCAGCATTTCTTAGAAATGGTGCCAAATATTTAAATAAATCAATTAATAATTGAGCATAGAAATTCCAACCTTGGACATCAGTTACTGGAGCTTGATCATAAGAACGTTGTCTCTAAATGTATAGACAATTTATTATAATATTAATGATTAAAAAATATATAAGTATACATGAACTATCATTAATAATTTATTTTATTTTCCTACTAATATTTTAAATAAAATATTTTTTTTACTTTTTGTTGTGGTGTTAATCCTAATAGTCTGCCAATAAATATGCGATGAGATATTAATTCCAACCAGGCATATGCAAAACCAGGAACTTTTTTTGGTCTAAGTAAATGAAATGTGTGGCAAAAAGCTGCTAGTATCTAATAAAAAAAATTATTTTGATTTTAACATTAACAGCATATGGAACATAGAAATTTTCAACATGATGAAATTTTACTGGGTAATTTATTGATTCTAATACAGGATCTGGTGTATTTAAATCTAAAAATAGTGTCACTAATATTCTATGATAGGGTAACTGGTGAAAATCAGTAGCTTGTACATCATGATCTTGAAGTAACACACCAACAATAATTCCTAATACCTAAAAATATTTTCATAATAAATTATAACAATCAACTATTTTAATAAATAGTTACTTTATTCAATAAATTAATTTTAGTAGTAATAGCATTGGCATCACCCGAATGTTTAACTAATAACACAATAAGTTTGACATAAGCATCAATTGTGTGAAAAAGTTTTGCTCGTATTGTTGATGGTGATTGTGTTTGATTTGGTATTTGACGGTAACATAGTTCTACCATCATCTGTGTACTAAGTCTAAAGAAACGAGTTATAATATCATCAGACTTCAAAATTCCTTGGACATTCATCTAAAACAAAACATATTGAAGTAATTTTCTAAAATGTTATGAGTAATTATAGACAGCTTTAACTATTTATAACACAAACAAAATAATATATTATCAATAATCTTCCTTCTTACTATTATTAAAGCTTCTTAATTTACTTACTTGATGAATATAAACACTAAAAGTTTTTCCAGGATCTCTATTTGGCGAAGCACTATAAATAGTAAGCCACTCTTTTAAAAGATATTCAGTTTTTTCCAGTAAACCTGGAGGATCATCAAAATCTCTTTCCTAGTTCGAAATTAATTTTTATAATTTTAAAGAATAGTATAATATATAATAGATGTAAAAATTAACCAAATTTTACTAACTTGTAAAATTCCATGCTGAATATGAGTTGAAGAATTACTATTACTGTCAGTATTACTCGTTCTATCAACAGTTGTATTCTCTGTTAACGATGATCTCAATACTTCTATAATTGCTGCCAAACTAAAAGTATAATTTTTGTTTTATATTTTCTATATGTTAATTTTAAGTTAATTTGTTAATTGAAAGTATGATTTAACAATTTTTTTTAAACATATATCATTATGCAGTGGTTTTATATGTTAGTTCTATACGTATTTAATTAATTAATTTTTACTAACCCATCAGGTACAGGACGACCACTAAGTATGATTGTATTTAATGCATCAATAGTTGCTTGTAAATGAATTTCAGTTATTGGGGAATTGGATCGATTATCAATTAAATAATATTGTAAAAATTGTTTAACATAAGCCATAGAAACATAGTTAGTACCATTATCCATTGACAAAGCCAAATGCATATCATACATACTAATATTGACCATACCCGCCCTAATTAGCACATCAATTGCATCTAAATTAAATCTTAGTTCATCTCTTGACTCCACGATAGCTCTAAAAATAAATTATATAAAAGCTAATATATTTTGAACCTGAGGAGGTGTAGAGTACACTGATAATTAGAATATAAACTGAAGATTTTTAAATATATGATCAGGCATCATGATTATAAAATTTGAAAAAAAAAAAATTAAAGCAAATAATCTATATATTGTATAAAATGTGGCCCAGTGATTTTATTTTTTAAAACAATTACAAAATATTAATAACTCTTCAATAAATAAATAAATAAAAAGGTAATTTTTTAGTTTTAAATAGTTAAATTACATAATTGTATAGTATTTGGGATTGAGGCGAGGAAAAAGAAGAAAGAAGTTAAATTACATAATAATCAAAAGTTATGTCATTTAAAGAGTATTACAACCTTAATTACTCTTATAAAAGATAAAAATTTATAATAAAATTTTCACTTGTAAGATAATAACATTGTTAATTTTTTAATACAAACTTTGTCAATGTTTTATTTGTCCATTGTAAATTATAGGCACGGGGATCTTGAAATGCTCTAAATATACTAAGATGCAAGTCACGATATTTCATAGCCAGATCTAAATCTTGATTTGAAGGAGAACTCAACCCATCCAAATAACTTTCAACAACCTAAAATAAAAATTGATACTTAATTGTTGATTTTTGTATTTCTATATTATTTTTGTGTAGTCTATATGAAATAATAATAATAAATTTAAAAAAGTTTACTTTCGAAAATTCTGTAAATTATTTAATTGATTAGTGGTATAATCATAATTATTTATAAAATTGAGCTATGTTGAATCACTTTGTAGTAATTTAACTATAAATACACAAAATACAGTTTACCTTATTAATAACATTAGCTGCAGTAATAACATCACGGCACCTTCTAAGAGTGATTAATACTTCTAAAATACCATGTAAATTTGCTGCCTGGGTTGTATTAGATAGAATTCTTTGATTAGACATATATAATTGTAAAAGGTCTTCAATTTCATTGATAAGTTTCTCATAAACAAGTGATATTTCATCAGGAGGTAAATTTAACCCCTTAAATTAAGAAATTATTATATCAAATTTTACAGTTAAAAAAAAAAAAAAATACAAACAGCTTTGGGCATAAATAATGAAACTGCCTCTCTGTCTAATTGTTGGAATCCAGGAATATTTCTAGCAAATTCTTCATAAATTCCTATCATTTGAGATGGTGGTAAACCTAGTTTATTACGAAGTGTATCTGGTAAGAACTCAGCTTGACCACTAACTACAGTTTGATCACAGTAACGACGACCTTCTATCCTGGATAAATTACGCCTTTCATATTCCTGTAAAATATTTAAAAATTTAAATAATAATAATAATTAAAAGTAATAATACTATATGTAACTAACATTTTTGAGATATTTATCAATTTCAACTACTGCTTTTTCAGTTGCAGTTTTTTGAACAAAAGCACAAGCAAGTTCCAAATTATCATTTACACAAATAGTACATGCTTGATCTATCATTTCTTTTTGAGCTTGAGTGGGTGACTACAGTAAAATAAAATATTAAGCAAATAATTTTTAAATCAAATTATAAATTTTGTATAATACTACTTTACGTACTATTAAAATGCTTAAAAAATGCTGCTTTAAATTTGTAGTTAAAGCTTGAGTAATTTGTTCACGACATGTAATCATAGCTAAACCAGAAGTCAAATTTCTTACCATACAATGAGCAGCTTTTCGTAAATGTGTTTCATCTGAATCCATACCAAAGTCCTAAAAATTAAATTTAAATTGAAATAATATATTTGATATATTAATAAAACCTATTAAATACTCTTTAAATCAGATGTATACAAAAATTTGGGAATTGACATTTTTCATACATAATTAGTAATATATAGAAAATTTTAAAATCAATATAACAAAACAAAATAAAACTTTTATAACTACTTTTTTGTAATTTCATAAATTAATTAAACTGATTGATTGTTAGCCAAAATAGAAATAAATGTAAACTTTTGCATATATTTATAAAACAAAATAATATAATAAAAATGACTGCTTGAACAAAAAAGTTTAATTAGTTTTACTTTTTTAACAATATGTTCAGTGGTTATAACAGCAATCTTAACAGATCTTTCAACAACTGGATTAATCCATTCTTGTATAGATTTTTCAATAGCAACACGAATATAAGTCTTAAGGGATGGTTGATTAATAAATAATGGAATCTGTATAGTAATAAAAATGTATAATATAAATAACTTTATTCATAAATGAAGTATAAATTTGTATTTTAAAGAAGACTTACATGGGAGTTAATAACAATCATTGATAATAATTGTGATGAATTGGCAGTATTGAATGTTACGTAGTTAAATTTTGGTTCAGTTGAAGGTAAAGGAGGTGACATTATTGGAGTACCACTAATACCTACACTTCCAGTTGATGTCATTGCTGTGACTCCTCCAGCAGCAACAACATGACCAACTAACTCATCATTAAACCTAGTATTGGAAGTCATAGATTGACTAATTAAAGGATTAGTTGTCGGTTGAGCTAGAAAAGATACAGTTGCTATAAAAAATGTAAAAAAATTTTGATTTATAAAATAATGATAATTTTAATTAATAAGTAAATGTAATACAGTATCGTATTTCTCTCAGCCATATATCACCACATTTTCAACATATATGAAAGTATATTGGGATCTGAATCATAAGTGTATAGTGGTCTAGTAGTAAGGTTTGTTTCTATGATGATTTCGGTCATAGGTTTTAATCACGTAATGTGCTTCTTTTTTTTACACAATTTTCGGTATACTTTCTGTATCTCTATTATGTATTTGTGCTCTACCAACTAAGCTAGCTCAGTTAGGTCGGTCGGTCGGTCGGTTCAAGTCCCACATTGGGCACAAATTAACATGAGCACTTAGGTTTGACAGCCAATCATAGAAAGTGTACTGGAAATTGTGGGGGAAAAAAGGAGGCATGGTACGGAATTAAAACTGACAATTCAAGGTACTGCAGAAACAAACCTTACCACTAGGCTACCGTACATTTATGATTCAGATCTCGATAGACATTCATATAGGTTGATAATGTGATATGCGGGTTGAGAGAAACATGGTACCATATCAAATACAATTAAAAATACTTAGACTTTCCTAGAAACTTCTACTTAAACTACTACTAGCAATTTATTATAAAATATAACTCAAAATGCTTGAAAATACTTTTCAACATATTGATTCAAATTTTCTCCGTACAATACACTTCTTGCTTATTTTATCATACAAAATACATGTATTACTACTTAGATAATTAATCAATACTTAACTAAAAAAAACTGATAATTTTTCTCAAATAATTACTTTGAATAATAGGAGTATTATTATTTTGAAGAGTTATAGAAACAGAAACTTTAGGTTGCTCAGCTGTATCTAGTACAGAAGTGACTTGAACTTTTGAATAATCACCATTAGACAATTGAGGTTCCAATTTTTTGGCTATTTCAGGATCTTTTAATACAAAACCAGGATTTAAGTCCTTAAAGAGAATTAAACAAAAATTAATGATAAATAAGCAACTATATAAACACATTTAAGTAAATCTAAGCAAAACATATTTTCTTGTTTTTAAAGGTGATGTAGAATATATATGGATGAAAATCATGATCATAAGTTTGTGTTTTAATAAGAGTTATATTATTTACTTTCAAATCAATGTTTAATGCTTTACAAAGCACTTCAACTTCAAATTTTAAAGTTAATTTCAAATCAGGTTCTTGATGAAGTTCAGCTAAACAGTTTACAACAGACATAGTCCAAGGATTTCTTGGTTTGAATACCTAAAAAATGTAATAATTAATAAAATAAAATAATAAATAACAACTTAACAACACTACTTTAATACATACTTTACTCTTTGCACATGATTCAAGTACTTTTGCTATAAAAGGCACTGTAAAGAGCAATTCTTGATGCCCTTTATTATAGGCTTCAACCAATAACATTTTAAGGTCAATGTCATCTAACAGTAATGGTTTATTTTTGGCCAGAGTAATCATTCCCAACCAATGACCTAAATTCTTCAACAAAGATCTGTCTGAGAAATTAGACATCCCTTTGTCACTTCTCAATAAAACCTAAATTAATCATAGTTTAGAGTATTTTTAAAATTTAGTACAGAAAGGATTTAGTAATTAAATAAATATACCCTTATATTTCTAAAAGTTTCTGATATAATCAAAGTATTTAGCTCTTCATTACCCAAACAGTCCAAGAAATTTGAGTACAATGTATGGAAGTTTAATTCAATACTAACTCGTTTCATAACTAAATATTGTGATAGCCAAGGCAGATAATCATCAGTAATAATTTCTTTAATTTCATCACACTATAAATTTACAAGTTTTATTATTAAAATTGTATAAATAAAAGCAAAGATTAAAAATAATTTTATATGAAGTCAAATTATTTAAAGTCAATTTATACAGTTAAGCTATTTTATTACATTATTTTCAAGTCTGTTGACTTAAATTAAAATAAACTAAAAAATATGCTAAACTTAAGTTAACAAAACATCATACACACCTTTGTTTGTAAATTTATTTGACTTAAGTTATTAAATATAAATGCAATTTTATCTAAAACGTTTTCAGGAGGAACAATCAATTTAGCATTTTGTTCAGTAGCAACCAGTAGTGTATCAATATTTGTAGTATTGGCAATTGAAGGCTTAAAAAGAGAAAAACTCTATTTTATCATGTGATTTTAGTTATTTCATTACATTTAATAAATAAATCTAATTTATACAAGTACATATAAATCAATAATCTTATGAATAGAGTCTGGATTTGAATTCATTTTTAAATTTTGTTATGTTATTCCAAACACACCATTAGCTAGAACAAATTTCTATTAATTAATTTAAAAACTTAGTATTCTTGTTACCCAGGTTAAAGCTTTGGATGATAAGGGGATTATCCTTGAAACAAAATTATTATTATCCAATTATATATTCCTATAAAAAGGTTGCATAAACGTGGGACCCTTCAAATTGCTTAAACGAAATCTATTAATGTATTTACTTGCAGGTGCTAGTAATGGATGAGATATTATTGAACAAGTCGTTATATTTATATATTTAAATGACAGCTTTTGTGATGCATAAACTATTGTGAATATTCAAATTATAATTACATCATTTCTTATGTCACTTAGATAAAATTTATAGCTATTAATTACTAATTAATATTAATTACTGCATTAATTTTATCAATTTAAATTTTATATTGGAACAAGGCGCATGAAGACTTTTTTGAAGCTAACATTATGAATAATAAAGCATTATACTCCCATTTTTTCATTTAATAAATATATTTCTTAATTATAAAGTAAATTTCTAGGATATGTTAAATTTTAAAATTTAAACAATCATTTTTGACAAAATGTTATCAAAAAACAAAAACCTAACATTTTTTAGTTTTGATACTTTTTAGTTTTAAAAAAGGTATTAATTTTACTATGATGTGATTTTTTTTCTTAAATTAAGGTATTCAATTGAATTGGTGGATTTAATGATATTTTTGGCTGAACAAGGTCTATGCTATCAAGTACAAGAATGTTTGAAGTTTCCAGCTCAAAAATGCCCTGATCTTTTAGCTATTGAGTTTATACAATCAAATAGGCCTCTAAGTATGGTGAGACATGAAATGATAAGTAGTCTAATACCAGTTTTTTTAGGAAATCATAACAACTCTGCAGTAATTTTACATTATGCTTGGAACCATCAGGTATGTATTGTTAAATAATCTAACTATATATCTTATAATTAAAAGTTAATTGATAAGTAAATTTAAAAGTATTTTATTATCCTCAAAGGAAATTATATTAAACATTTTTTTAGTTTCAGTAGAAAGCTGAAAAGATATTAATTTTAATATGATGTTTTTTTTTTATGTCTGTTGCCACTTTTTCTCAACTCTTACCGGATCAATTTCATTCAAAATATCACAAATTGTATCTAGTTGAAAACATTACCCTTAAAAATTGAAAAAACTTCCCTCATTTCCTGTAAATGGGGGAAATTTTCAAAAAAAATTACAATTTTTAAAAGCAGTAACTTTTGACATTTATTTTTCTTAACACTGTCATAACTTTTTCAAAAATGAACAAATCAAAATAATTTTTTTTTATATAAAAACCTTAGGTATTTCCTTTCATTTTATATAAATTTGTTGAAAACCTGACTATTTAACTACACACAGAGGGATAATTAAAATAGCAACTTTTTCACAAAAGTCAATTTTTTCAACTTAACTTTTGAAAATGCTCAGGAAATACAATGTCCTTTAAACGTATGTTAAATACTATAAATTAAAAAAAAAAAAAAAAAATGATGACCTATCTTCTATGTGAAAATGGCTGCCATAGTTAAAAATATTTGTGTTCAAAAAAGATTTTTTTTTTTAAATAAGGGTTTGCCATAGCAATGAGGCCACCGATTTTTATAAAAGTTGCTTGAATCTTGCTTTGATCAAATATAAATTTAAATATATTTTTAATATTTTGATTCCTCTAAAACAAACGACTTTGAAATTTTGAACTTAAATTTTTTTTTTTTGCTGCTAATGGTTGTAATGTAAAGTTGCCGCATTGGTAAAAATATATATTCTCTTACGCTAGGGGTACGAGGTTTGAACATCACTCGTCAAAATGACTATTTTTGCATATTTTCTTAATTCTATTAAATAGGAGTTCATTTAGAAGTTGCTTTTGGAATAATCCACCAATTTCTTAAAATTAAACATCATCTACAGATTTGCATCAAAGCTTTTCATATGATAATGATTTTAATCACTGTCAGATATCATTTATACTTGTTTCAACTATACCACGTCTACACTGTGCTGTGACTCCACAGTGTTTTTTTATTATAATAATGACAACAGCATCACAGGCCAATAGTTAAAAACATAAAATATTGTTTAACGTAGTACTCTATTTATAATATAAAAAAAAAACTAATTAAAATATAAATATATTTTTTTAAAGGTTACATCTAAAAAAACTTATATAGAAAGAAAAAAATCACTTGATTTTTTTTTTTAACTTTTATGATAAAAGGTTAAATTCCAAATTTCTTTTAATACTAAATGTAAAAATGTTAGAATGTTTCAATAGTGTTAAACTTAATTTTGAAACAATGTTATAAGCTTTTTATTAAAAATTAAATATAATATATTTTTATTTATTTATTCGTCAACTTTTTTTCATATACTTGTATGCAATTTAAGTAACAGTTAATTAAAAATATAGTTTTTGCAACTTTTCAGTTTTTTTAAACATTGAGAAACTTTATATACCCTCTTTCACTTATTAAAAAGTGTTGTAATTTTTTTCTTAAATTATAAATTCAACTGTAAGGAATTATAGTGTTAAATTTTAATTGGAAAAAAATTGCTAAAACAATAACATTACTCACCCTAGATGATAAAATAGCATTTGTTGTTATAAGTTTAGAAGATGCAGTTGATACAGTAGTAGTTGTAGTAGTAGCTGTAATACTTTGAGCTTTGAAAATACCAAGTGTATTTGGCATAAAAGGTACCTGTGGTAAAGTAGAGGTTGTTCCTACTATATCTAAAACTCGTGATGATGGAGGTTCTTGTGAATTTTTACCATATTCAACATACTAAAATGTGGTAATACTGCTTTTAGAGCACATAAAGATACATGGCAGGACCAAGTTATCTAAGCACCGAAAATTCAAAATAATTTTTATTACATCAAATTAATTTGTAAAGTCAATACTGTGAAAAAAATTAAACTTCATAAACTATTTATAACTTTTAAAAAGTTATACCCAATGATAGAGCTCTTAATAGCTCCTTATGGAAAAACTAATGGTTTTTATTGATTAAAAAAAAAATATATATGTATATTTTGATACTTTGATTACTTGGCCTAGCCACCTCTCATACATAAAAAAAAAGACAATAATATGTACTTAACATACTTCAATTAAATGCTGTGGAAACTGCTGAAAGTGAGGAATAGAAGATATATGAGAGCAGTATTGATGGTAATCTTTTAAACGATTTCTAAATCGATCCAAAGCAGTTATACCAAAATTATACATTTTTGAATTTGGACTTTTTTTTAGTGCATCCAAAATAAAACGTAGTGCTAATCCTAAAGCTTTATAATTTCTGTAAAAGTATATAAATTGAAAATATTTATATTAAATTAAAGTAATAATTTTGCAACTCACAAAACAAGTCCGTGTTCAATTATTCCACCAAATAAGTGAGCTGTTGTTATTAGTTCTTTTTCAGGATAAGCCGGGAAAAATCTATATTCTTCAAATAAATTTCTTAGCATACAGCAAAATACTTCCTAAAATACAAATGATTATTTTTTTAATACATAATTAAAGTTTGTATTAGTTTAATACCCTTTCACGTTTAATATGTGATTCTTGAAATCTTTTCAACATTTCAAGAACTTCATCTATTGATAGTGAATGATGAGGAGCCAAATTATAAATACGTTGAAAATAACTATTAGCTTCATCTTCTATATCTTTAGGAACTGATAATGGCATATTACTATCCAAAAATAAACTATTGTCAACTAAAAAAAATTTTTTTTGTAAATAAATTATACATTTGTTACATTGTAATTAAAAATAAATTAAATAAAATTAGTATTAAATGGATATAACAAAAATATTTCTATAATAATTACTAGTATGATTCATCTTTCCAATAACTGAAGGAGTAACTTGATGAGATGGTAAACGGCCCAGTAAATTAGATGATCCAGATAATTGACTAGATAAAGTTGGAACAGAAGTATTTATAGATGAAGATGTCTTCAAAGAAAAACCACTATGTCCAGAACTACTAATAATATTTCTAGATGGTGAACTAGAAGTTTGAACTAATGAACCTAAAAAATTTTAATTTTGAATTATATAGTGTAAATAATAAATAAAATAGTTTATTTCAAACCAGGTAATGTAAATGTAGAGGCAGATTGAGCTGATGGGTTGAGTCCTAAATTAGCCAAACTAGTTGCAAGACCTGTTAATTGATCAACTAAAACTTGTGGTGATGAACCTTCTATTGGCCGTTGCTGTTGAGATGTACATAAAATAGAAGGTAATGAAGCGGATGGATTCACACGAGAAGATGCGACTTTTGAAATATAAATATTTGTACAGTTGGTTACCATTAACATTAGAGTTTCAGAAAGTTCTTGAGAAATAGTTCTATACAAATAATTTATAATGGAAATATTTTATACTATTAGACATACAAATTATTTAGTAAAACAATACAAATAAACTTTATTAATTTAATTCACAAATTATAACGATAATTAAAAAAAAAAAATGTTTTGATAAATTTAAGGTTAAACAACTGATTTATTCCACTTTTAAAGCATTTTAGATTTTTTAATTAATATTAAATGTTTATCCAAGTAAAAATTAGAGTCTGATACTCTCTTACATTGCTTTTAAGGCTATAAACAGCATTTTCATAATTTTACAAAAGGGCCAAATAAATATAATGAAAATTAACAAATGGCATTTAGGCATAATTTTTAAACATCAATAGTTATTGGCAATAAAAAATGTTAGTAAGTACCTTGAAAATCGGCTATATTGATTATGAATTTTTTGTATTTAAGACAATATATTTGTAACTTATTTATGTTAAAATGTCACTTATAACCTTATTTCTTGGTAGCATTGAAATATTATGTTAACTAATACTATTTTTAATTAGAAACAATTACTTTGATTAATTAATTATTTTATCTTCGATGCGAAGCCGAGAAGGTATTAATTTTACTATGATGTGTTTTTTTTTTTGTTTTGTGTCTGTTACCACTTTTTCTCAGCTCTCACCAAACCGATTTCTTTCAATAAAACGTCAAAAGATCACAAATCGTATCTAGTCGAAGACATTACCCTCAAAAATTGAAAAAAATTCACTCGTTCCCCGTAAATGGGGGAAACCTCCAAAAAAATTACAAATTTAAAAATCGCTAATTTTCGAAATTTTTTCAATTTTTTTTACTTAAAACTGCCATAACTTTTTCAAAAATGAACATATCAATATTATTTTTTTTT